CTCTTCCAGCACCACACTGATTTAGCACCAGTGCAAAGCAGAGCAGGCTCCTAGCGCCTCACTGCGGATGGGTTTTCCTCCCAAGTGGTAAGACCAGCCTAGCCTTGCATAACTTGTGAGCACTCCTTGCAGGGGGGCTGCAAAGACGATGGAGCTGGGCTGTTCTCAGTGGGGGCAGATACAGGACAAGGAGCAATGGGCTCAAGCTGCAGCAAGGGAAGTTGAGGTTGGATATGAGGAAAAACTCTCTCACTAGGAGGGTAGTAAAGCACTGGAACAGGTTAACCAGACAGGCTGTGGAGTCTCCATGCTTGGAGGTTTTTAACCAAGTTAGACAAAGGCTGGGATGATGTAGCTGGGGCTGGTCCTGGTCTGAGCAGGGGGTTGGACTAGGTGTGACCTCCTGAGGTCCCTTCAACCCTCATTTTCTAGATGATTCTTTGACTGACTCACAGCATCATTGACGCTGTCATTCACCAAAGCAGTTGAGGGTCAGAGAAGCCGTTGCCAAGTCAGACTATTAAAACTGCTTGTTTTTGGGATGGCAAACTTTGCTGGCACCTGGACACTCAAGAGAAACTGCCTCTCAGCAGCTGTTACTGCATCAGAGGAAGAGATGCCAGAAGTGGCAGGGTCTAGTCCAGAAGGTTTTTTCTATAATACTCAAACTGCTGGAGTTTTTATAAACCTCATTATTTGAAAAATCCATCAAAAATGTACCGGAAAATCTGTATTGCCTGCTGTTCAGTTAAATGGCTCCCATCTTGTCATTAGCCACTAGAAGTTGCTCTATCATAAAACCCCCCCTGTGCGTCTGTAAAGCGATTGCTTTCATGTCCGTGCCCCCAGGCACTCAGCCAGGGAGCTGTGCGCTCTGTCAATCTTTGGCCATCTGTGCCCTTTCCCCCACCACCCTCGTGCTTTAATATTTCTGGCAGCCATTTCTCTTAAGGCGATTACGAGCTTGCATCTTTCAGCAGCGTAACGGGAGAGAGGAGCTCATAGGGCCTGTCTAGTGCGGACCCTCACATCTCAGCTTCACAGCAGCTTTCTGAGCTACCCTGGGCATTAAAGCCCCACCTTTAAAGGGACTGAGCACTTCCAAATCCCGCCAAAGTCACTAGTGTTATATTGGTGCAATGCACCCAGAAATCACTGACTCCAGCCACAAGCGTGGGAGAGCGCTGCCAGACTGGCAGGCACAGAATACATTGCACCTGTAATGTAAAGCTATCCATTCATTGGCATTAGCCGATTCAACAGCAAGTAACTAGAGATTCACACATGCAGATTCAACACATTCGCATGTCTCACAAATGGGAAATAAAGGCATTGTGTATCTCCACAGGATGACACCTGCCAGTGACAACCTGAGCTCCCTCCGTCATTCTCGGTTCATGGCTTGAAGCCCCACGTGGCATCACCTGGAGGGATGGGCTTGGCTAGACGCTGCGTATCAGACGTTGCTATTATTTAGATCCAATGCTGAATACCTCAGGACACAGGCTCTGACTTTTATTTTTGCTGGGGTGGGGAGGCTAAGATGATGGACATGTGGAAAGTTTTGCACATTTCAGGTGACAGCCCTCTTCCTGAGGAGGGTCAGGGCTCTCGGGCCCCCATATCCTCGGCACCCATGCCTTAGGAAGTAACATGCTGGAGCTTTTGGGAGAAGGCGAGCAGGCAAGAAGGGGAGGAGGAGGTCACGCTGAGGTCTGGGAGCTGGAAAAAGTTTGCTGATCAGAGGAAAGGTTACAGAATAGGAAGGTGGCAGGGGAGCCTTGACAGAGCCCAAGCGGCTCTCTCCAGCGGGAGGCAGATGTTTCAGTACCGCACATCTGGCCGCTTCCCCCAGGAGCAGAGTCAGACAAGAACAATTGCATCAGTATCTCCCCGCCCCTGAGCGGTCTGGCACTCCCTCTGCTTGCCCTTGTCCTCGACCAGCATGCTACCCTGGCAAAGCTCACACCAAGCATGGGTACCACTGGATTCAGGCAGTGCAGCTTGTTTGCTGAGGCTTTGGCCGAGCGTGTCCAGCACCCCATAAAAAATAATACACACATAACCATTTGCTGCTGCAAGTCAAATTCACTGCCAATGAGAGTCCAGCGGGCTGTATTAGAGCTGTCTTTTGGATGGGGCTACCGCCCTGTAAAGGGATTCGAGCCAGCTTTGAGAAATCAATTTTCCATTCTTTTCTCCGTTATGAATAGAGTTTCAAAGTCTCAGTAGGTCTTTTCTGCTACAGCCAATGTCAAGCTGCCTCTCTCCGGCTTAAATCAGCACCCCCTGTTGATCACGCTGGAGGTGCGGGATTCAAAACAGCAGGGGCAAGAGACAGACAGATTGAGGTTAGCACCAGCTGCAGTGGCAAAGTGGACTGACGGATGCTTTTAATAACTGCAAATGCTATTCTTGGGGCTGATGATTTAGCATTTAGGATAAGATAGAGAGGGAATTAAAATGAACCAAGGAGAGCACTTACTTTTTATCCATGCCTGCCTGCTGCCTGCTGGCTCCAGTCCTCATCACGCTATTAATGCATATGGATACTATTTCCTTTCACTGGAAGAACAAAAATACAAAATTGCTTGATTCAACAGTTGGAATATTATAGCTCTTCTTTATGGAGGCTATTGTGGCAGGTCACTTAACTATGTCAGCAAAGGTTTGAATTTTAACCTGTCAGAATGATAGCTTAGAATCAAAATTTGTCAGCTCAGATGCAAGCAGCATTCTGAGGCTGTGTTAGTTAGGCTGTGTTAAAATACACTTTTAATGGCCTGCATAGGTGTTCAGAGGAGTGAGTTTTTCAAACGCAATTTTTTTCCCAATGCTGCATTCCTGTTCTCCCAAAATTTGGGTTTAGAACTTATCACCTTTCTAAGAGCAGGAGCCCCATTGTGCTGGGAGCTGTATAGAGACAGAGACCAAATCCTGGCACAGCAGGGGCTGGCTCTAGCCTGCCACACCTACTTCACCATCCTAGGTAAGGCAGGAAAAATGAGTTGGGCTCAGCATGTTATTCCCTGGCGGCTCTATTCAAAGCCCCTAGCAATCAATGGAAATACTTTTGCTGAAGGGCCCCCGGGGGACTGGGTCCTAAGAAAGGCATCCCCCCGGCTTCAGGGTTCTTCAGATTTTTCTTTAAAGACTAAGTCCAGGGGCATGATTTTTCCAGCATAAATCATGTCCTGCAGAATCAGCCATAAGGGTCTTTGTCTTTGCTGGATGGAGGAAGGGTGGGAGGGGGAGTGAATTTTTATTTTTTTTTACCATTCATTATCTAATGTGTTAAAATCCTAGGGTAGAACAAGGCAAAATGTAGCTGTAAAAGGCTTTCCCTTCGGATTTACGCACACCAGCTAGCGTGTGTTAGAACTACAAGTTGCCTTGTCTACCCAAGGAATTCAGCATGTGTTAGCTAATGTTTGTTAAAAATTCACCATTTGTCCCAAGAGTAGACACAGCTACAAGAGGGCCGGGATGCTCCCAGTTCCCGGCAGTTACCCTTGCGTGTTTTGCTGCTTTTCCAGCTTTGGGATTCTCACCTCCTCGGTGTCAGCACTTAATTCCCGCAGCGACCCCCTGCCTCCACTTCTGCTCTCAGACAAGAGTCCTGAAGTCGATTCCAGTCCGTCCACCAGCCCAGCCCCCAGCTGCTCTGACTCAAGTCCCTTGTAGGGTCTGACATCCACACTCCTCATGCGTCCCCCGTGGGTCGTGCTGCCACGGGAAACTGCACGGCCCTGGTATCCGATGCAGAGAAGCAGCAATCAATATTCCAATCCATAGCTCGTCTCGAGGCTCAGGTGTGGATGTCACCCTCCTACAGGTCTCCCACTCCCTGCCTTTCACCTCGGCGTGAAGCTGATCTCCGAAATCGGAGGGAGGCGAGCTTTACCCATGGGGCTGCAAGTGGCAGCCTCCTCCCCCCTGTCTAGTGGGTGAGGATCATTCGGTGTTTTGATTTTATTGAGAGGTAATTTGTGTTCAGAATGTTTAACGGATCTTAAAAACGAGGTGACATTGTCACTGCCTGCGCTTCCATGGCAACCCGTATTTATTCCTCAGGGCTGTTTCATAATAATTAATACACCACTTCCATTCACGCTCCCTGTGCTCGCAGTGCGTGGCACAGCCACCGCTGGGATTTACCTGGGTCACACAAAACATTTCTGCTAATGAATGAGAAGCAAGAACTTTTCTGGGGCGTTCTGGCAGCCGTGGCAAGGCAGAGGCAGAAGCCGACAGCCCCTCTTCCATCAGTCCAGCCCTCCCCAGCGCTCATAAGAGGGCAGCAGAAGGAGCAAGCGTATGTGGACACGTGCGGGTGCAAACCTCTTCGGCAGGACCTCGAAGTGGCAAAAGGCCCACCCCTGCAAATGAGACGCACAACCCAGAAGCCAGGCAATCGGAGAGGGACCAGATAATGAGCAAACAGGGGTGAGGGCTGCAAGTTGCAGGGTCAGAACAAGGAATCCACAGGCCTTAAGGCCAAAATACGCTGTTCACCCTCTAGTAGGTGCAGCAATTACTGGACAAGCTTGGGATGAGCACAATGAAGTGCATGAGGGAAATGCAGTCTCCACAGGCTATTCAAGATTTGGCTGCAATCCTCACGCCACCAGCAAAGAGGCCAATTAGCCTCCATTGCAGAGATGGACTGTGGGCACTGGATGGAATAGCAGAGATTTAAACCCCCGCCCCCAAAACCAGACCACTTGTCTTTTCTCTCTTGGAAAATGGCACACTCCTGTTCCCTGATGGGATGCATCCAACCTCTTAAAAGCAGCTGCCTCCACTGCAAGCCAGCTATTAACATGTGTGAATATGCAGCTGTGCAGGGACCCTGCTCAGTGTGTCCTATAGGAAAAACATACTTGGGGCCCAATATCTGCCTTCATGCATCCTTTAGTTATTAGGAAGATGTATCACAGATCTGGACAAAGAGCTTGCCACCAGTATTAGTGCTCCTACCTGAAAAGGATCCATTAGACTTGGAGCCACAAGCTCCTCCTTGGGATTACCTCGATTCCAGTGGGAACGGAGGATATTGTCACCTCACAGAACCAGGCTCGACACTGGTCATTTGTCATGTCAGGGAAAAACGGCTGCAGAGCTTTACAGAAAGTCTACAAGCAGGGATAAGCAGGTGTCCCGCTTGCATTCAAGGTTGGGATTCTCTGGTCCAGCAGCAGTGAGTGCAGCCTCTGTCCTTGGATGTGTTGTTGGTCTAAAGATGGCCAAAGACAGGCACATTTTGGGAGACTACATCAGCAAAACCTCCATCCAAAGAATGATTTGCAAATCCCACAGTCCCTGTCCCCACTTTGGAGTCTGTCAGGGAACAACACTCAGCTCCTCCAGGGGGGAAGCGGATCACAGTTCTAGCTGCCTTCTATCTGTGATAGCAGTGATCAAGGCAAAGCTACGAAAACAGCCTGCAGCCATAACGCCTCGGGCTATAATCTTGCCAGATCTCATATGCTAAGTAGGGGCAGGCTTATTCCTTGCATGGGAGACAGGGAAAAAAAGCCCAGGTGCTGCAAAGGCTCTGTGGGAGTGGTGGGGGGAGGTAACCTTTGGAGCCTAAGTGAGGTGAGGGGGCTTCGGGCTGCCAGAGCCACCAGCTCTTCAGAGGAGACATGAAATCCACAGCCTGAGCCCATTACAGTCATTAAGGAGTCAGCAGCACTTTTCACAGGAGGAGTACAAGCACTGGCGTCCTGGCCAACATCCCATTTGGGTAATTACATTCTGCCAACCACGATCCCCCCTGCAGCTTCACTCGGAGATGGGATGCAGAGGCCATTCTCTGCCTAGATGCTTTTCTGGCCTTTCTTCCTGCTGGCTAAACTCAAAAAAGGGATCTTGCTGTGAGGAATGACTTGTGCCTTGTTGGCATCAGTCTGAAAGGTGCTGGGGAAAGACTCCCGTTGGAAATAACTTCAAGGGGGGGGAGGAAGGGTGTTGCGGCTGATGCAGGTGGCTGGGATTCATCTGCCACAGGCTCTGGAGAGGGGTCACCTTGATCCTCTCTCTGTTACTTGGCTTCCCCCTCTCCCCCAGTAAAATGGGGTTTACTATTATTATTATTATTCATGTTATGTTTATGCATCTAATGTAGGGCGCTGCCATGCTAGGTGGTACACAGACCCACCATAAATGACCACTCCTAGCCTAAGGAGCTTACAGTCCAAGACGCTGATCGGCATCGGAGCATGTTGTAAAGGGTGGCGAGATCCAGCAAAGACAGGCCGTGGCAAAGTGCAGAGAATAACTCGATGTCTATGCCAAGAACTCTGCTTTCCTCTCCTGACCCCTCTGTCTCCTGCAGAGTGAAATGTTGGAAGAGAAGGCATTAAGTGATCAATGACTGATGTAAATTAGAACAGAGAGCAAGTGAGCAAGAGAGAACATCCTGGAGCTGTGCCTTGGTATAATTTACCACGGTTTGACTGTAGCCTCTGACTGAGTACTGAATGGGCCTAGGCACCATCATTCACCCCAAGCTGATTGTATTCACGGCCACGAAAAGGAACCCCCCGAGCTAATGGAGTCAAATGTTTTTTCAGTGCCCGATAAAGCCGCCACAATGAAAACATTCCCGCATCCCCATGAAGTATAGGGAGAGGAGCGCTGATAAATCTCAACTGGTCTGAATATACTGGTACTATGTGGGGTTTTTTTCAATTGCCTTATAGTTCCTATCCTCGCTGACACAGCCTGTCAGGAGATTTCTGTCTATATTTACCAAAGACAGGAGCTTGCACAGCTTGGGTCCTATCCAATTTCATTTTGCTGGCTAGGTTGAGAACCGAGTCAGAAGGGGCTAGGACCGTGCATTAGAGCTCTCTTGTGAATAGCTAAGAGGTTTAATAAAGAGATCCCAAAAAGTTTTCGAACAGTTTACTGGCAATCTGTCAAGTGCAGGAGCCTTTCCTGCCTGAAGGCTTGGAATCATTTCACTCTCTCTTTCCTAACGATTTCTCCTGATCCTCCATCAGACTGAAGCGACCTCTTGCATCAATGTCATGTGTCAAAGGAGACATCTCAGGAGGCCTCCTCCCCTACCTCCAAGGGCACAGCATTCTCCAGATGAGAGTTTGAGAACCTTATTAGTTTTGATTAGTGAGACCACAGCCTCCGGCTTTTAGCTGAAAGCGTCCCACTGTGGCAGCAAAGCCAACCCTTGCTCTCTGTTCTGCCTAACTTCAGACTAGCACTACCTCTCCTTTTCCCTAGTCAGACTTACACACTAAACATCTTCTTAAAGATAACATGGGCTCAAAGCTTTGTCCCCCTTGACTGTTAGTATCAGGGCAGTCTCTCAAAGCCCTAGTTGCAGGTCAGGACTATGGGGCCAAACACAGAACAAAGATAGTGTCAGCCCCCAAAAGCCTGCAGTTTAATAGCAAGTGAAGACTATTTTGCCCAGTCTGAGATGCCCATTGCACTGCCGGCAGAGCTCATCTGCTCCAGACCAGGATGCGTGCACAGCCTGGAGATGATTGTCCTTGTTTGTCCTATAAACAGAACGATTCTTTTTCCTAGGGGAGCTC